AAAAAGAAAAAAAAAGACAGAGAGAAAGAGAAAAAGAAAATGATAATGGCACCAATAAGAAGAGCCTTGATCTATAGATCATTTCATTAATATTCTTATTTTTTTAATAATAATCGATTATATACATAAAAGAAATTTATATTCAATCAAAAAAAAAAAAAAAACACTATAATATTATATATAAATTAATATATATGGTGGCTTGGAAAGTAATGTCGTTTCATAACCTCAAAATTCAAACATAAATTCTTCAAATCAAGTTTTTATTTTTAATTAATAATTAGGTTAATTAACATAATTAATTAAAGACGTTATCAACTATCTTTTTCTATTTGGTTTGCAAAATTTTTAATATTGCAACGATAAAAGTAATTAATCAATGTTTCGATTTAAATTATTAGAAATAATTTGACTTGCGTAGTAACGACATTAATTTTTGATCCACTTTAGATAATATTAATCATTTTTATAATATATTATATTTATTTTTTTTATTCACATCGATTTAACTTTTTTTTTATGTATATTTAATTAGATATAATTTAAATTAAAAAAAAACAACAAAAAGAATTGATAAGATAAAATTAAAAATTATCGTCTAATATACAAAAATTCGATATTTATAATAAAAATAATCGAAAAATTATATATATATAGATATTTTTTTTTTAATTATTAAATTAATATTTTGTCCTAATAACAAATTAACTATAATTATATTATCTCAATTGTTATATTAAAGTAACGCAATATTATAAATTGATGATAAAAAAAAGGAGTACTGTACACATGTGTCTGTATAAAAAAAAGAAAAAAAAATATAAAAAAATACAAAAAATATTTAACAATTATTTCTAATCGTAATTAGAAAATATTAATGTTGGTTCAAAAACGATAATTGTGCCCATAATTATGAAAGTGTTTTAAGTCATGTCATATCACTTGTTTCGAGATATTTAAAGGTTTCTATTTGAACATTGTATGAATTTTATGTAATATTGAAAAAAACAAATCAGAAACAATATCTAACGATTCATTTTTGACAATATTATGAAAATTACATTGAATTTATTTATTTTAAAATAATGTAATGCGTAATGACAGATAAACTCATTTTTTTTTCTTTTTTTTTCAATTTTGACTTCAACCACTTTCATAATTATGGGCACAATATTGTCTCTTTTTTATTTCAATGTTGAATTGTTGTTGTTATTTAAATTCGTAATTAGTTGTTGTTGTTGTTGTTGTTGTAATTTCTTTCTTTATTTCCTTCATTCGTCATTACGATCGTGATTATCACTAACAGTTAATATTCTTATCAAATCATTTGAAGATTCTACAACGTTTGTATACGTAACGGTATCCTGATTTCGTCTTCGAACAGTCCATTGTCCACCTTGTCTTTTAACGATGAAGAAAACACTTAGAAGAATAATTATTAGTATCAGTAATGTTATACAAGTCCATAAAATTGGATAAAAAATGGTTGACATCGAGTCGCATTCTAATTCGTAAATTGGAATTTCTTTGAGAAGTTTACTACGATGTTTATCTGGCATGGAACACCTAAAAATATTTATTTATAAATTGTTATATAATTAAGGAATATTTAAATATATTTATTATTTTTTTGATTATTTTATAAATATTTAATAAATATTAAAAATAAAGGTATATACTATATATATAATAAAGGTATTACACGTTATATATATATATATATATATTTATATTTAATAAAG